CAAATTCTATTAATTCTAGCACATTATTTGTCTCGAGAAATTTTCAATAGCTATGCTGTATAGATTAATGCTTTTCATCAAGCGTTATTCAGCTTGGTCTCAAATTTATGCATTGATTTGTCAGCAAATCACGATAATCGGAGTCGAACTATTTTATTGCGATAGAGTGTAGCTAGGAGGACCCCATATTGCATCGAAAACCGCTTTAACCCTCTCCTTTCCCCTTGATCCATGTATAAAGACAAAGAGTGTCATAAATTATCATGTTCATTATCTACCTTCATAAAATTAATCAAAAACTGATAAAAATCGACGTCATGCGACAGCAAAATCAATAAAAATCCAGGCACAAGGCAAGATCATTACATAATTTATATTAATAAAGAAAGTCAGCTAAAAATTTTCTATCCCATTAAGTTTTCATCATAATTCCCATAAAATTAGCTGCACATCTTAATAGAAATATTTCCAAAAAAAATGTTCCCACAACATAGCTTATTGACTTTTCATCATTCTTTATATTATTGACATGTACATGTGGGCAGCGGCAGCAAAAAAAATCATTTTTTTAAAATACACATATATAAATTCAATAAATGCCCTCATCGTATGGCGCGTATAGAAATTCAACATATTTATATCAATATAAAATCATCAGTGGGACGTAATCGATTGAGAGATTTCAGAAATTTGATAAAACAAATATAAAATAGAAGAAAATTTATGAGAAGGACCCTCAGAAATTGAAAATAAAATAGGGAAAAAAAGGCAAGAAGAAGGGATAAGACGAGTCATAACAATTAATTAAATTTCATCCATTGACCTTACCCTTATGTTCAAAATTTCAATTCCATCTATTGAATAACAAAAAAAAGGATAAAAATCTCTAAAATAAAAGTTTAATGATAGCCCAGCCCCCACATTCATTCAATTTCATTAAATGGAGCATTTAAAATTTATGAAACTTCCAGTTTCCAGCCAACAATACCACACATGCAGGCACTGAAATAGAGCAAAAAGGCAAGCATTATCATAGTGTATTTCATGTGAAAAAGCTTGATAACAATTCAAATTTACATTCATCAAGTTGAAATTAAATTTGCATGTGAATTTATTGCGATAAAACTTTCATGTTTCATTTCCATTGCTTTAGTCTTCAATTGCTGGCATTTTTCTATTATTTTAATGTGAAACTAAAGTTTAAATTTGAATTTTATTTTTTTTTGAATTTTTAAGAATCTAAGAATCTTAAAATAATTGCTTAGGCTAAGAATCGAACCTTTGACATCTTAAGGACCAGCTTAGCTCACTAAAACTCTGAAAAATATTATTTTCATCAGTGGAGAAATTTTGATGTTGTTTGTTTTCTTAATCAGCTTTGATTCATTTGATATTAGCATAAAAGTTCCTTTATTATTGATAACCTGCTCCGTTGAAAATTTGCATATGTAAAATACTGAAGATCTCTTCGAAATCCGGCGTTACATCTTAGAATATTTTATAGCTTTCACGTGGAATCAGAATTGATCTATTAAGCTATTTTGTATAAATTTGGTTTTATTCTTTAGCAAAAATTCACGTAGGCATGCAAATAAAATAGAAAGCAATTTTATTAAAAAAATCTCAATTTTTTAAAGGCACAAAGTGACTGCAACATTTTTAAAATTAACATGAAAAACCTATTAATTTTTTACCACAAAAATATTAATGCTAGTTTTTCATTTGAATGTAACATGTTGAATTACAATCTCGAATAAAAATGAATTCTCGCAACATGAAAAAAAAAAACTTAAATTTATGCAAGTAGTTTTATTGAAATTTTTTATTTCCAGACTTTTTCTTCCTTATTTCCATTTTCTCGTATATTTTTTATATTAAAACCCATAAGTCAAAAAAGCATATTCCACTGTGTTTCTTTTCTTTTCTTCTGCTGCCAAATTTGAAATTTTTTTCTGCATCTAATATCTCGGTTGCTTATCAAACCACTCAAAAATACAAATTTCAGCTGCTTGCAGTTTGTGTTATGACTGATAAGAATTCATTTGTTATTCATCAAAAAAATAAATTTCTTTTCTCACATCATAAATTTCTCACATCTTCTCGATTCCATCACTCGAATAGCAAAAGATGAGAATTTCCATACATTTGAGAGTGCATCAGTAGGAGAAGGGAAAAAAGTGAACAATAAAAGCATAAATTTTCATCATAAATAACATTCTCATTTGGGAAATTATTTTGATGAACTGAATTTAGAATAGAAATTTTTTGCTTTATAAAATGAGTGCAGTGGAACTCTTAAGTTCATATTTCATCTAAGCACTTTAGTTTCTTAATTTCTGATTGCACATGCATCAGAGGCTCCGTCAATGGCACATCCAAAGGATCAGTATGAAGTGGTTTAATCAGCGGCTCAGTTAAGAGCTTAGTCAAGTGCTTTGAATTTTACTGTAGCTTAATCAGGACTGGGATTCAAATATAGCCATTTTAAGTTGTTACAAAATATGTGAACGACCCCGCTTGTTACGCCCCAATATTCAATGAATCGCAATCATCCACAAATCTAAAAACTAATGCCGAAAAGTAATCAACTTTGTCTGTTTAAATAACATTTCTCATCACTTCAAACCGAGTTTCGGATTCTTAATCCTAAACATTGTTATTTTTTGCTTTAAAAATTGACCGAAGGGAAAAGAATCACACAGACCTTTCTGCTATATGATGGAACTGTAAAAAAGGCAAAAACATAATCAAGCAAGACAAATAAAGCCAATTTAAGGAAGCCTTTTTAAAAAAAACTAAATTGAAAGGAAATCTTCAGAAAAAGACTAGCAGCATCAGCACTAAAGATGCCCAAGAAAAGGTAAAAAACAAACAAAAATGATTTTTTTTTTCATAATCATCAGCAGTTTTGTACTTTTCGAAGGAGAGATTAATGAAGCAAATTGATGGCATGTTGGTTTTTTGGGTAGGCAGGCAAATATTTTTTGTTTGGACTGTAAATGATCTTGAAATGATAAATTCCATTTTTAACTTCTATCGGACACAAAACCAACATTCCTATTCAATTATCGAATTATTGATAATTACATGACATAAAAAATATGCTTTTGAGAAATGTTATACCTTAATTTCTACCTATGATGTTATTTCATGCTGCTTTGTATATTTTTCATGTCTTCGCATGTGGAATTGCAGACGCCGAAGAAAAAACAGACAGAGAAGAAAAGGATGAGAAGTTCCTTAATTGAAAAGAGCAGCAAAATGAAGCGGCAGTTGTTTGTTTATTTCTCAGACTTTTAATTAACTTTTTTTCTCTTCTTCTTTGGAATCATTTGCTTATGACGTTCATTATTGGGGGGAGGGGGGGTGGGTGTCAGAGATTTTACAATAATTTTTAATCAGCACATCAATAATGTATGAACATTTTTGTGACAATGAGTGGCAGGCAGTCTAAAAATCACATTTTTTGATGGACATCATAAGTGAATGCATCCATTTTTCAGCAAATTCTTAGTCAATGAAATGTTGTACAAAAAATTGCAAGTTTGCTGTCTGCAATTAACTTTTAAAGTCATAAAAAATTGTTTTTCTTTGCTAATCCTTCTTAAGTAATTTAATAAATAAATTGAGTATTTAAAGAACAATTTGATATGAATTATGATAAATTCTGTAAACTTATTCTTGATTCTATAAGGGGTCGTTCACTTATGACGTCCCAAATTAACGGTAAATTTTCGAAAAGAACAATGGATTTCTAGAAATTTCTATTGTTTTTTACTTCCTGACCCCCCCCCCCCCCCCCTTCACCCTTGGACGTCATAAGTGAACGGCCCATAAGTGTCGTTCTTAATCACCTTGAAGTTCTTCACATTTATTGTCATGTTTGCTTCAAAATTTAAATATTTAAAGTCATTGGTAAGTTAATTCAAAGTAACTTAGTATTTATCATTTGCAGTTGCATACGTTTGCATTTTTCATTGTGCCTTCAGAAAGTTCTGGATAACTTCATGACAAATGTTATAGTGTTGACACAATATTTATTAAAAAGATTTTTGAGCTAGCACAGAACTTGAAGGGCTGCTCATGGAGAGAAGATTTGGATTGAAACAGTTTTGGCATTGATAAATAATAAACAATATATACAGTTTTAACCATTATCTAATGAAAGTCATGAATCACAGTTAATCTGAACTGTCATAATATTATACAGGTGAGATCTACGGAAATGCATCAAATATGGAACTTATATAAATAAAATAAATTTTAAATTCGTTGTAATATTTTTCAAATGTTATGTAATGTTTCCCTTAAAAAGTTAAAACTGAATTTTCTAGGGCCAATAATAAAAAAAAAAAATCAAACAGGTTTGCCTTCAAAATTTTAATTTAATCCACGTGCAGATGTTGACATAGGTATGAGCAATAGTAATAAAAGAGACGAGTTTTATAACATCTAATTTCCAATAAATTTAAATGGAGCAACATATGGTTTGGCTGTTAATATACGCTAAATTTATCAACATCAATTGACAGACCTTCTTGACCTTAAATAAATCTCACAGAAGGAAGTAATTTTTCGTACATATTAGCGCTTGTTATCATTAATTTTTCGAGTCTTTTGCTGAATCATTCAAAAAATTGGGGATATTTGCAAGTTACGTGACTTGATTTTGACCCCCACAAGTTCTTACAACTGTCATAAAATCTCACAACTACTTCGCCCATTTAATAAGCGTTACTTAACAAGTAAATGACCCCAAACACCGTTGGAAAAAAAATACACACGTGTTCCACCTTTAAAGGTAATTTATAGCAAAATATTATTTTGGCTATCAGATGAAAACAAGCCCTTAAAAACATAAATATGCTAATTTTTCGAATAAGGAATTAAATTTATTATTATGGAAATAAAGAAGATTAAAAGAGAGAAATTCTTCGGAAAAGATGATTTTTTGTTATGATGAAATACAAATGGAATGCAAAAACTTTTAATTAAACTAATCACTTAAGTAATCTAGCCATACCTCCTGTATTTATTCAATGAACTTATAATGAATGAAATTAAATATTTAATCTATTAAGTACACATAAAATGAATATGAATATCAATTTTTTTTGCATATTTGCACTTTACTTATAGCACCTTCACGTATTTCATATCCTCAGGGTTCATCTCTTTGTCTCCAAATCCCCAGAAATGCTCAGTGTCTCTTAACTTATCTGGATGTTCATTATTATTATTATTATTAATTTCTTCTACTTCCTTGGAATATGGATGACTTCCATCACCAGTCCTTAGCACACGCTTCCTGATTATATCAGTTGGTACTGTTTTCAGCTCAGTCGCCCATCCCATCCAAGCACAAAAGTCTATAAAAGCTGATGAAAGATTATATCGATAATTTGGTGATTCACCAGTTCTGTAATCCCATGGAAAGACATGATGATAATTGTGCCAACCTATGTGCAAATTAAACAGTCTCAATTAAAATTATTAAAGGCATTAAAATCAATTTTACCTTCTCCAAGGGCAATAAATCCAACAAGTCGCGAATCTGTTGGCGATATATTTTTGTCGTATGGCTTCATACCCCAAATGTGTGCAACTGAATTTACACACCACACAAAGTTAAGAATGATTATGTAACGAAAGAGATTTCTGTTCCATACAGTTGTAAAACTTTCACCGCATAAGATTCCAAGGTAAACAGGCACGACGAAATTTAAAACAAAAGCTAAAGGTATATAGTACCTGTAAGGAATTTCGTATGAGTCAGTTTATATATAAATATCAAATTCTGATGATCACTTACTTTTTTTGTGTTACTAGCCATGGATCATTTTCTAAGTCACTCATATCGACTTTCTTTCCTTGTCGAATAACTTCTGGATGCTTCTTACACATCAGCCAGCCTACATGTGAGAAAAAGAATCCTCGACGACTATTGTATGGATCAGCATCAGTATCTGTGAATTTGTGATGTACTCTATGATCACGCGCCCAATGAAGTACAGGCTCTTGTGCAGACATTGTTTGACACATAATAAGGAAGAATTTAAGGTATTTGTTGGCCTTAAATGATCGATGTGTAAAGTATCGATGAGCAGCTACAGTTGTTCCCATTCCTGTAACAATACTATAACTCCATCCAATAGCAACTGTACTCCAATATTCAACAGGATGAAAACAGCTATAAAGTGCAGCTCCATGTATGTACGATAGTAAAATTACATTTACCCATTTAATATCCCATTTGTACTCATTTGATGCTTTTTCGGCATTATCTGATAATTAAACAATTCACAAACTTATTTTCATAAAAATTTCTAGATTTTTCATCACAAACCTTCAAATTTTTCATTTTTAAAATCATCACTTTTCTTCAAATGTCCATTTTCTTCCTTTACGGATATTGTTTCAGTCAATATTCTCTGCATGATTCGCAATTATAGTTGCAGATCTAATTTCACACCAAATAAATTTCAAACTTAATTTTTTTTTTCACTTATTCAAATTTTCTTTTAATTGTCAAAAATTTTCCGAGACATTCAACTCAACGGTCTGATCATGTCGAGTGATTCGCGAACAATGAATGGATATCACGCATCGAGCACCGAAAAAAAGGTTAAAAATTATTGTAATATAAATTATAATAGTAAGCTTAAGACAAGTTTGGGATCATTGTTGATGTAAAACTGTGTAAAACTAGTTTTTCAGTCGCTACAAAACAGCGACACGAAGATGTAAAGAATGCTTACTAGTCATCATTCGTTCTTGCAAAAATGTAAAAAATTGACACCATCTGCCGATTGTCTAGAAGTATGTTTTATTTTCAATGTCGTTCCAACGCTTGTGTAAATAACATAAACATATTCAGATATGGTAAGCGATTTTTGTATTTTTCTTTAAAACCTGTTCGGCGTTTATTATGTATTTTGTTCGTTGACCTCAGGAAGAAGAATTACTTGAATGAAATAGCTGTGTAAAGTAAAAATTGTGTGACACTGACCTATAAAAGATTGCAGGCGAGATATTGCAAGTTAAAACAGGTAAAATAATTATTTAATAAATTTATTGAAATATTTTTTTAGCTTAATTAATCAAATATTAAAAAATTGATTGACATTCGAACTAGTTTAAATATAAACTAGATTGGAATAATATTTGATTTTTAGTTAAAATATTAAAATCCTTCAAATATTATTTTTACTTTTACACTAGTTTGACTTTTTACATAATATTTCATAACTACATCAATGGATTAATTGTTGAACTTTTTAAGAAAAATAGCATTTTCTTGCTCAACGGGCTGTTTACTTATAACGTCCACCAAAAATTAGGAACTTTAGATTTCATCCCATGGAGAGACTTTTTCATCTTTAATGATAGACTCATTAGGGATCGTTCATAAATGACCTGCCAAAATAACCGTTGATTTATTTCAAAAAAAAAATTAAATTCTAGCAAAAGTATTGTCCTAAAGCTCTTTGACAACTTTTATCTTAGGACGTTATTTATGAATGACCACTTACTAAAATACCTTCAATAGCAGACTTAACAAAATAATTAAGTTCGTGATGAGAGTATGAAAACACATACATAACATTGCAAGTTAATTTTAACTTGACTTGCAGAATGTTATGCAACATGATTTATCAGACATGATGTTCATTTCTCCTTCACATTTTATTGTATATCTTTTTTATGGTTCAAGATTATTTTCTTTGCAATACTGCATGCAATAATAATTGTCCACGACTGAATGTGGTAGTAATTTTTGGTGCGTGAAATTAAAATTTACTCCTGGGGACTGTTTATTAATTATGTAACACTTTTTTTGGGAGGGAGCAGGAAGGTTAAAATCTATTTTTATGAACAGTCTCTTTATAACAGTCACTCAAGTTATAATTAAACAAAATATTTTTTCTAAGGTACAATATAAGTTCGAAAAACAAGAAATCCAAATTATGCCTACCTTTCCAAAAAATAGGTCAACCGAATAATTTCTCATGATTAATAATTCCTTACAATAATGATAATGCTAGTCAAGGATATACACATCATGCATTTTCATAACTTATTTATAAGAATATATCTTACTTGACTATAATACATCAAAATGTAATTTAATTTAATGTCTAGAATTAATTAATTCTATTTAGATTTAAACCAAGAAGGGAACAAAAATAAAAAAAATATGCTTATCAGAATAAAATGATCGATTAAATTTAGTTGCGGGTAATAAACGAAAGTGGAGCAATAAAGCCGACATGGCAATTTTATTGGCGACATAAAAATCTCTCAATGAATGCGGTTCGATTGTGAATGACCAATGAAAATTGTCCACAAAATCAATAAATTAAAATCAATGTAGACTTTTTATAGCGATTGATACAATTAAGTGGCAAATGTTGATTAATAAAAATTAATTTCTAGGGATTTGACGGGGATTCAATGTGGAATAACATAAAATGTTAACTTAGAGGTCATTCACTTATGATGTCTATCAAATGGTTCCATTTTAGACGCCTTTTTGCTTAAATTGTACCAAAACAGCAGATCATTGAATCAGATTGCTAAGTTCAACTTATAAAATTTTAAATCCCCACATCCATAACAAGCATAATTGTTCATACACAACATTCACGCATTTGTGTATGTAGCCTGTGTCCCTTATTCCATTAAATTAAACTTATGATGTATTGATATTATGAACTAGGGGAAGCATCTACTAGGGGAAGTATGGTCAAGGTATTGAAAGCTGATAAAAGTTTGTTGACCACAGAATTAAAGTCATAAATTTTATTCCCAATTTTATCAGGACACAGGAGTTCACTCTTGATCATAATTTGTACTTTACGTCCGCATTTACGAAATGCTGGTCTCGTTTCAATCATGTGCTGATAAAATGTATGTAAAGTTAAGCATATAGCTTTCAATTAGTTAATGGATGTTTCAGTACTAGCTTGCCTTTATATGCAGCAAGCTAATATTGATGACATGCTAAATAAAATGAATATTCAATATGATTCACGATCGACACTTAAAGCAAGAATAAAAAGCTCTGCTTATTGAGATTCAATTCTCATGTTCTTAATTGAAATGCATTATAATCAATGACACTTAATGAGTGAATGTTTGTACTGCATTTTAATTTCATTATTTTATTTGCTTCCAAATTAATGACCAACTTTAATTTAGATTGATTTATAGGTTTTGTTAATTAATCACCTCATCAGCAAAATTTTATTATCGTGTTTATCATACATAAAAATAACTTCAATTCAGGGGTTATTCAGCTATGACGTCCTACATTTAAAAGGAAAATTCGGGACCTTAGATTTTGTGACATTTCAATATAAAAGAAACAACTTGGCAACATAATAGAAAGAGTTTATAATTTAATTTTTTGGTGGACGTCAGAACTGAACGACCCACAATCCAAATCACATAATTCTGTTCACTAACTGCGGATTTACCTAATTTTACATCAGTGAATTACTTGATGGTATTAACCTCAAAATATCCTTTGTTTTTATGCTGAAGCATTTCATCCTGCCAAACTTAATTTATGAAATAAAGAGCCACCGCAATGACCACAATCACATCCTCTCACATTCAAAAACTTATCAGCACCGCTATCACCATCATACACTCTGGTAAATTTTGTGTTAAAATGTGCGTGCGTAGTTGAATAAAAAAAGTTGAAAAGAAACCAATAAATAATTGATGATGGTGATAGCTGTAATTGATTTATAGGATTTTAATCGAAAAGTTTTCCCCTTTTACAGCTCTGCACGCAGTCTTGGTTGTTTCATGTCATTTGATAATTAAAATTATAGTAAGTGCTATAATCCTATTAATTTCTATATAATATGAAATTTTCATGTGTCTAATAGTGCTTCCGATAGTTCCTGATAAGGCAGAGCTCATGATTAATTTTGTTGAAGATTTGGATTTTACCAATTGAATGATGGATTTATTGTCGATGGATTTACAGCAGTATATATTCTGAATGTAGTTCATCTGGCTCTTATCGTCCCCACTGCATTGGATTTCGGTCCTCATATTTGCCACAAAACCATGAAGATGATGATTTATGATTGAAACGTGAAAATGAGGGAAAGAATCTGGAATCAATTTTGAGCCGAAAACGAAGAAAATCATAAAAATCTTTCCTTATTTGAGCCTCAACAAAAAAATTTCTGTAATTTTATGATGATGATGATTGAATTCATGAATTATGAACTGACTGACCGACAGTTGACTGACCATTATATTTTCTGCTGCATTTCCATTTGCACAGTTGAAAAACTCTGTCACAATAAAAGTTGCAATGATGAAAAAATCGATACAGAAAAAAACATCAACTTCGACGCCAGACATAAAAGAGGAAAATAATAAAAAAGAATCTTGTTTTATGCGAATTAAGTTAATCCGGATCATGAATGAAGTCACGTGCAATATAAATGGATGAAATAGAGTAGAATTAAAAGACTGTGACAATAGTTCGGAAGCAATTATTACGTCAATAAGAACTGATAGTGACAACGGATGAAGCATTTAGGTTAAGAACGTTCTGCATCTTAGCATTAATCTGAATTCAATCAACAAAATGTCAAGAAAATATTAATTAGTAAAAAACATGGAAAATTTAAAATTTATAAAATAAACATCTAGTTTTGTCTATTTTGTCTTCGCCTTAAATGCCTGCAATATGCAACGGTAAATAATATTGATTGATTTAAAATTGGAATTGATACTTTTTACGCTAGTGTAGGTTGAATCAAAGCTAGGCAAAATTAACTCGTCTGTTGTTGTGGCTAAATGACAAGCTCTAACCCTTCAATCAGAAATTAATGCATTAAAGGTTGTGGTAAAATTATAAAATTTTATGATATTGACTTCTGTTATATGGGATCGTCACACACAGCGGCAAACCATCTACCAGCCCTAAAAGTTGTACATGATTTACGAACAAACCCCGTTACAAAATTCACAAATTATAAAATGCAGGAAAAATCATCTAAATCTCACAAAAATTGCCTTAAGTTATTTGTTTCCAACATTTATTTTATTTACAGATGCAATAATTTTACATGAAAATGTTACATGCTGTTGCCCAACGACTGTAAACAAAGAAAACTTCAGTTTGATTCGAAAAATTCAAACTGAAATTCGAAAAATTTCGAACTGTTTCGAACTATTGAATTTTTTAAAAAAAAAAATGATCGTTAGGGAATTAATAAAAATATATTTATTCTAGTTGTTTTTTGAAGCAAAATTATTCCTTTTATGTACCAATCGACTTTGAAATTGTAATTTTACTCTAAATTCAACAAAAACTTTTAATAATTTATCAATTGTATCTTGACAATGTTCAAAATCGACTTCAATTTGTGCAATTACTGTATTAATGAATTTCTGGTTAAAGGAAGGATCAGAACATAAGATAAAACAATTAAGCTGTCTTTAAATAAATTCAAGAATACACAAGAAATATTTTTTTTCACAGCAATATTCAATATTATGCAATTTAAGAAATTCAATCCACTTATCTTTATGCACAGAGCTTTTTGGAAGTTCAAACAGAGGAATTTTATTGGTTTTCTTTCCTTTACAACCAGTAATTACACAATTTCTGACTATTTTAAAAAAATGAAATTTTATAAATTCAATAAAGACTAAGAAATGCAAACAAATATTTTCAACGGAAATTTTAAATTCAAATCAAGTTCGAAAATGAAGTACCTATTTCCGAAAATGAGTTCTTGTTTGCAGTCGTTGGGCTGTTGCCATTACTTCAACACAATGTGAGGTAGAGTGAGAAGAAAATTGGAAAAATGATTTATCATGATCGTAAAAATAATCAAAAGAATATCTCCCAAAAAATCGCATCTTTTTTTCCGTTCAAATAAAATAAATATGAGTAGGGAAATGCCCTTTGGGACGATGTGAAATATTTTCCTGTTTTGTTACAATGTTTTTGAATTTCATGGAGGAAGAACAATTTTTATCTGAAGGGTTAATCACATATGACGTCCATCAAAATTCAGAATTTAAGAAATCCCCCTTCCCCAAATCACACAAAAGAATCCCAAAATATTTGATAATTTTTTAATTAAACTTAATCCAGTAATTTTAACTTTGCAAATCCAAAGGAATTCATCTTTTTTTTTTGCCTTCCTGAGATTATCTGATAAGCATACCTGATTAGATATAAAAAGATAATTTGAAATTATTTCCTTTTCTACTAAAAACTCCCAAAAGTTCATTTCTCATTGTATTCTTCAATCATGAAGACTTATATCGCAGTGGTTCTAGCCTGCTTTGTGGCACTTGCAACATGTGAGATTGATATAGCTCCAAATGTTGTAAATGGAGTTGATACATCAATTCTTGACCATCCTTACATGGCTGGAATTCATGTTAATTGGATGGGAAGAGGATTTGTGCCTTTCTGTGGTGCATCTATCATCAATCGAAGAAGTGTATTGACAGCAGCTCATTGCTTAGTCTTTAATAATACAGCACAAGCCAGTGCTGCTGATGTAAGAGTTTCTGTTGGATCTTCATATCGTATGGGAACAAATGGAGTATTCTATGATGTATTTAGAATGATCAGACATCCACAATACTTGCTGAATGATGACATGATCCAAGCAGATGTCGCAGTAGTTCGTCTAATTTGGCCATTGGTATTTTCAAGAATTGTGCAACCAATTCCATTGGGAAAATCAAGAGTTGAGGCTGGAGACATGGTCATGGTTACTGGTATGTATTATACTGATTATTTGATGATTCCTAATAATTTGATTCCAATTTTGTAATGTCAAGGCTGGGGCTTTATCAGCAGCGATTCAACACAAGTGGCAACAAGAATGCAAAGAGTTTTGATGCAAGCTATTTCAAATGCTAGGTGCTTATGGATCCACAGAGATACAATTCCATCATGGGTTACAAGAGAAATGGTTTGTTTGTTGGCTGGAACTGGTCAAGGAGTTTGTGGTGGCGATTCTGGTAAGCATAAAAATAATTAAGACTTAATAAATAAATTGCTAATGAATATCCTATTAGGTGGACCAATTGAATTAAATGGACATGTTGTTGGTATTGCATGCTGGACTTTGAGACCCTGTGGCTCTGGACCTAGCGTTTATGTTAGAGTTTCTGACCATTACGATTGGATTAGTGCTAATGTTTAAGAACCACATAAGGAATTGAATGAAGGGGAGAACAACATCCTATAAAATATTTTACAAAGAGTCGTCCTCCACCTGATTAAATGATGAATAATTAAAAATATAATAAAGTTTAAATCTTGAATGAAATAAATATTTTTATGAAATTAAATTATCGGATTTTAGACTCTAGATAAAAATAAATCTGATGATATGCACCATATCAATTATAAATTGATTCCAGAGATTAGATTAAAAATTTCAATTTCATCAACTTTGTTTGAAAATAATAAATTATTTAGTTGCTCTTTATCATCATGAAAATACTGACCATAGTCTTTCTTGCTTCAATAATTGTAAGCATAAAATGTGATGTTCAAATAGCTCCAACCGTTGTAGGTGGAGTTGATACATCCATCCTTGATCATCCTTATATGGCAGGAATTCACATCAATTGGTTTTCAGAAGGGCTCATTCCGTTTTGTGGTGGAGCTGTAATTAGTCGACGAAGTATTTTGACAGGTTTGAAAGCAGCAACTTGTTTTAAATAATTGGAAATAAATTATAATTGATTAATGTTTTTAGCTGCTCACTGTTTATATGCAAATTTAGATAGATACGCAACAGCACGTGAAGTTCAAGTTTCTGTCGGTTCTTCCTATCGTGATGGACGATTAGGAATGACGTACAGTGTTTTAAGACTAATTAGACATCCAAAATACTTTTTAACTTACGAAAGAATTGAAAATGATCTTGCAATAGTTCGTTTAATATTTCCATTAATATTTACAAGAGTTATTCAGCCAATTCCTTTAGGAAAGTTTATAATAAATTCAGGAGACCTAGTCATGGTTACAGGCTTTGGATGGATTGGAGATGATGTATTTGCAACAAGAATGCAACGAGTTCAGCTTAGAGCTATGACTATGCTAGATGTTTATGGCTTCATAGAGACACTGTTCCTGATCGAGTTACTCCGGAAATGGTTTGTTTGGAAGGAGGACCAGGACAAGGGGTTTGCAGTATGTATTTTTTAGCCTAATATTAGATAAAATGTTTCTAAAGTTTAATTATTTATTTTCAGCTGGAGACTCTGGTAAGTATCCTGAAATGTGATTTAAAGGAAGCTGTCTGTAATTTTTCCTCAATTATTTCAATGTATAATTTATGAATTTTAGGTGGTCCACTTGAAAAGGATGGCTATCTAGTTGGTATTACTTGCTGGACATTACGACCATGTGGATCAACTCCTAGTGTCTATACACGAATATCAGAACACTATAAATGGATTAGTGATAACATTTAATTTAAAGCATCCACTAATCATTTAATGACTTTATCATATTTTAACAAAAATAATGTTCATTACCGTTTTATGATGTGCATTAATTCCACATTCATTTGCAAAAGTCAAAAATGATTGCAAATAGAAATTAAGTTTTATGATAATATTTAAATAGAATTATTCAAAATAAATTGACTGTAAACTTCATCACATTTTATAATTTTAAATGAATAGCTGAACATAATTAATGATTTAAAATATTGTTGATATAAACAAAAACCAACATCAAGTGCTCTCAATTTTTTATATAGTAATGCATTTTTGAAAATGTTATTTTATCGATTGAAAAATTCCAATTGAGATTGAAAAAGTCAAAGCTAGCAAAACTTTTTTATTTGATTTTATCACAAATGAGATTTTTTTCAATGAATAGAGGGACTTTTCATCCCATTTCAGTTCCAACTTTATGTCACGAGGAAAAAAAATTCAATTTTCAAAAAAACTTTTTCTTTTCTTTGTTCGATTTTTTTCTCAGCTTATTCCTCATATGTGTACATATCATGATATGAAGATGATGAAGCTTGCATCTTCAATTATTTTGCTCTCCTTATAGAGTTTTTCTTCTCTTCATGATAGCTGTATGTTGTCATCTAAAACATAATGTTGATATAAAGCAAAGTCAGCAGTGACAGCAAACAGAGCTTGACATTCAATAAACTCCTTCGGTGATTCTATTTTGAAAAGAAGAATAAAAGCCTGAAAGCGATCTTTATGAAAGATATCATGGGAATTTCACAGAAATTGGAAACTACTTTGTGACTTAATGCTGTTATCAGGTTGATGGAACTTTATATGTGCTTAAGATGATGAGCTCATTGAATTATTTCGAGAAGGTTGACTCTTTTTATTTTTAAAAATTATCTTAAATTTTTGTCAGGTGTTCCTTATCATTTCCGTAAACTATAATTCACTACAATTGGAAATCTTTTAAAAAAGTCAAGTTTGTTTCATTTTCCATCTTATCTAAATTACATATTTACATATATACAGACTTGCTTGTTTGAAGAGGTTTGAAGCTATTCTATTGTTAGAAAAATAATGATTTCTATGAATAAATTCGCAGGTGTGGAAAATTTACATCATTTAACTTGATCTTTAGTTACAAAATTATGTAAATTAATGAACATAAATCATAAAATTGAAGGTCGAGAGTTGATAATTTTGTTTTTCTTTGCTTTGCGTCTCAATTTAACCTTTCCCAATGGTCGATAATTCGATGCTTTGAATTAATAACTTCATTTGAATTCCCGCCAGCATCGAAAAAATTCTTTTTCATTCTAAAAGAATGCGTTGATGCTGAGCTGACGAACTTTCAATTATTAACGGAATGAGAATTAAAAAATTGATTAAAATTGATAAATTTCAGCAAGAGCAAAGATTAATTTATTTAAATTGAACTTTATAATGGATTTTGAATCTGCTGATGTTTTAAGAATTTCTTCTCATTTTTTGAATTCATAAGGAATTCAATTTTAATAAATATAAACTATGCACGAATAACAGAGAATGGCAATTTGAACTAATTAAATTAATATTTCAAATAAAATATTGAAAGGTATGAATCAGTTGTTTGAAGCATGAACAAGTGAACTTTCTTCTTAATCGCATTAAATGAAATTCATTGGAGCACTTTGTGGGTGAACTAAATCCTTACATTCTTAATTATTTACCAACAGAAACTCAAATTCAATTAAAATTAATCTCATTTGTTTGGGAAATGTTCAGAGTTGCTGATGAATATTTTATGATCAGCAGAAACCTTAAAGGATATGAAAACTTGATTAACAAGTCTGGTAAAAGATGTTTAAGTCACTGAAAATTTTATGATAATTTATGAAATGGAATTTTTGCTTGTCAACCTTTTTGAATTAAGGATCCTCAAAAAAAATTAAGCTTAATTAATAAAAGAAGATCCTTAAATGAAAATCTTAGCTCATTTTGTTCAAGCATAAACTAAGTTTTGCATGATTATGAGCACCTTACTCATTTTTGTGTAAATCTGCTGCACGAATTTATCGCTTTTAATTAATCAGACTTCGTAAGAAAATATTTTTAAACCTTTTTTCACTTCATGCCTTTCTTCCTCTTTCTTTTTCAGATATAAAGACGAAGGCTGATGAATAGAATGTCTTGTGTTTTTAAAAAATCATAATTTTTATCTAAATCTATTGCAGGTGGTAAAGTCGTACTAATTAAATGGGAATCATTGATGATTTCAGAGATCCAAGATCTAATAAAATGTCAGAATTGAAAATATCATTGACGTTGGGCTCATTAGTAGCGGTAATTAGAAACATAATTTAAATCTACACGCGTTCACAAATATTTATTTCATTAGTTTTTTAATCGTGAATCTTTCAAGCTATAATTGAGATTCAAAGGTTTATTAAGTAAGGAATTTTTAATCAAGGGAATAGCAAGGGGTTGTCTTAAGGGGAGTCAAAGTACCTAAATCTAAACTAGAAGGTCTGATGAGTAGCCAGGAAGATTAAAAGGAAATAAAAGGTTTTAAATCGGAATTATTGAGAGTTAAATGGGTTCCAGTTTATGGAAAGAAGGGCCAGGGAGTCCAAAAGGAAGTCACTTGTGTCTAAAGAAAATATAGTAAGACAAAAGAGAACCAAAGGTATCTAAAGAGGAGCCAGGATCCAAATTTTTAATCATAAATCCTAAAAATTGAAAGTTAAATGAAGCAGTTGATAGTTGATGCCATGTAATTACTAGTCATTGAGTCTTCCTGTTCCTTTTCAAAGGAAGCCAGTGTAATGATTGATCGTATGTCATGTTATTGCCAGAAATTATTATTTTTTAATGATGTAATGATATGAGCATGGCTTCTTGTTGATATTTTTTAAATTCAAAATTTAAGGACCTCCTTCGTTAATTCAGTTGTATTCCTTTTATTTGTTTTTATGATCTGAAACTTAAAGTGTATCCCAAATTGGTTTCTACTTCAGCTGCTGCCCAAAAGCGATTTCACGTGATGTGGAAAAAGGTCAGTGAAATTTATGAAGCAGAATTTTGATTTTTTATTTTTGCCTTTTTTAACCTGAACTTTTTTTTGGCATTTTCGTCTCAATAAAAAAAGGATAAAGTCAATTCAAACTTTGCTCTAGTTTTCAGCAATCAATCTTTTTTTGGATAGAAACATTTCCGCAGGATTTTATTTTTTCATATTTGAGTTAACTGATTTGAAGGGATATGTCAAAATTTTTTTAATGGCATTTCATAAAAATTCTCAAATTGACCTAGTTTTTATAAAAATACAAACTTATGGATTTACCTGTTTTAAACTGACGGAGACTGACTGCAGCATTGTTCTATTTTTTCTATCGTCCATTTATCAAAATGTTGGTCCCTCTTTTATATTTATACATCTTGCGTTTATTTTTGTGGGCACTTTATGCGAAGTATTTTACCTGAACAACTCATTAATCTTCTGTGCCTTCATATCATCTGCAAATTTTAACTAAGAATTTTGTTGTCTTCAAATTCTGTTTATGCTGAAATTAATGCTGTTACGTAACTTCTTCTAATGTCCTTGAAAAATCATAAAAAAATAAAGTTTTAAAAAAATAGAAAGTTTGAATCATAAAAATATTTGCCATAAAATTGCTCCTGTCAGTGTTACTGATGTGGCTCATGAGGTAAGCCTAGAAAACCACTAGAGATTCTAAAAAACAACTTAAAAAGAATCAACCTTGAAAATCAATATTAAGTTGTTTTTAAGGCTGCAAAATTATTCTGTGAAGCCATAAAAAAAACCAAAGAAAAGATAAAAATTTATATCCGCAGACAAAGGATGACCGTGAATTTCTCATGAAATTCTTTTGTCTCTAAATTCGATCGATTCCTCCCACTTTTTTTTAAGATTCTTTTGAGAACTTTTTATGATGCAACAGTAAATTTATTGAAAAATAAACCAAAATGCTTTGGAATTGGAAATGAAGGAAGAGAAAGCAACCACAAAAGAATTGAATTTGAATCACAAAGGATACTCGAAGGTCTTTCATTCAGAATCTCTGTTTGTCCATTTCGAATTGATTTTATGACTTTCAATAGAAAGGAACAAAAATGCAAATTTTTTTTAAGAAGGACGAAATGAAGCATGAAAAATTCCATCCAAATATTTTCTGAAAGGATCTCTTTTGTCCATTAAACTCTTTATGTTTTGTTGCCTTCTTTAAATTTTGATCCATAAATTTTCTAGTATATTTGCAATAAATTTTTTTAAAGCAACGACAGCAAAGTCAAAGGAAGGAACAGATTTTTTATCGTATTTTTCAAAGATCTTGTATGAAAGTAGTAAGGAATAAGAACAGAATGGAATCAAAAAAATTGCCGTATAACTTTTGCATAAATATCTGCTTGACATTCTTTGTGCATGTGACATAAATAACAGTTCTGTTGACCTTTTTTACTTCACTTAATTTATTTGGCTTTAAATGGTTTTATTCAAAAAATTCTGAAAACTTAAGAATAGGCCAATATTGTAAGCATAACTCAAGATTCATAAAAATAATTGACCATAAACGATCACATAATAAGAACATCCAAAACTAAGCAACATTGCTTTCAAAAATCACTCGAAAAATCTCTCTAAACCATTAAACTGTAAGCAAACAAATCCATCCACAACAATGACCCACAAATTCACAAGATCAACAAATCTTCAGCAAATAAAGCCAGCAAAAAAAAAATAAAATAAAATTGAAGCTCACTCTCATTTTAAAAGTCAGCATGAGACAACCAACAAAATAAAGTAAAAAGATGTCATTTTATGGCTAAAAACAAAACACATCGAAGACAAACCCTAAAAAAAATTTCTCTTCAATTGTCATTTTTCAAGACATTCATTTGATTGTCGCATCTTGAAAACAAGAGAATGTTTATAAAAAAAAAATAAATAAATTATTTTCAGCGTTAACATAAAATTTCAAGAGCTCTTGAAAGAAGCGCGCAATAAGAAATTCATCATGAAAACAAGTTAGGAATGGAATGAAACAATAGATATGTGTTGTAAAGCAAAATGACAATCAATTTATAAAGATTAAAAAAAGGCGAATGAAAAGTGTCTTGTTTTATGTGTGATGTGTTTACCTAACCCATAAAAATGAGTAGAAGCACATCCATAAGAAGTGTGAAGACTGATGCTGTTAATAAAATGACATTTTATTTTACTTCTTACATATTTAGTAAGCGACATCCAACCTCTTTCCTGCTGTGGGAGTTTCAATTTCAACGAAAGTATGACGAT